AAATGAATGTGACTTCAAAGCAGAGGATAAGAAGATGAGAGATATTGAATAGTAATTGGTTTGTGTTTCAAACATATAGAAGAAAAATAAATCGTAATGTCGGAATTTTTAATATTTTCCAAGAGAGAAGAAAGAATGTCTTTAAAAAATCTACAGAATTATTATTGTTATATTATTTGGTTTGTCGTTTTTTTTATTGAAAATAACATAACTACATTTCTTAATTTGTTCTTTTATCATTTGGTTCAAATTTTTTTTTTTTGAGAAATTATTGTATTAAAACATTATCTTTTATGTTTATTATCCTATTTATATCTCTTTATTAATACGTTTATACACAAGTATTGAAATATTCTTTACATGAAAAAAAGAATTGTATTTTATAGAAATGTATTAAAAGAGGATAAATAAAAAAGAGGTAATTTAATCTTCTTTCTTATCTTCTGGTGTTGACGTAGGAATGTCTTTATGACCTTCACAACAATTACATTCACTTTCTGATGTGGTATGGTTGTGCTCATTACAAGAACATTGATTATGTTCATGTTGTTGGCAACTACAACAATTTGATGGATGTTCAGGTTCAGCATCAGTAATTGCGAAACAAGAATGTGCACGAATAATTATAACAGCAATTACTAAGGGAAGAAGGAATGATAAGAAACAATCATTGAAATAAGCAGTAATGGAGGCAGAAATATACCCGATACAAATAGCTATGAAAGAAGGAGGGAATTCTTGAGGAAGATTTATAGGAATAGAAATATTTAATTTAGTACAGACTTTGTATATGATTATTGGAATAGCTTGAATTAATAACAAAAGAAGAGTGAAAGGCTTGATTATACTAAAATTATTATGAACATTATGTTATCAAAAGAATAATAATGAGTCAACAAACATTCCAATAAATACACAAATACCACAAAGCATAACATAAAGAAATCTGAAATTATAAATATTAACTTTTGTTCTTAAATTCATTATAGCAACATCACTGAACATTCCATATTTTGTTTGTTTTAATAAATCTAATTCATAATAAACTTCTTGCATAAAAGAATCCATTGAAGTTTTGATATTTTCCATTTTGGAATGAATGGTTTTTTTTTGATTTTTTTTTACTTTTTTGATTTAGATTATCAATAATGAAAAGATTAAACTAAATAATATCGTTTCATTCTTATCATAATTAATGCAAACAATAACTTGGAAACAAGGTCTTGAAGAATTAAAAGGAATATTCCCAAACATTGACTCAAAACTAATAGAACAAACCTTACGTGATAATGGTGGACATATGGAACAAACGGTTGATATCTTGTTAAGTTTTACAGATGATACAATACCCACACAAAATCAAAAGTTTGTCTATTAATTAAATGGTTTTAACACATCAAGAAACGTAAGTTCATATTATTAGTCATGAAGAATTTATTAGTACAAGCAACAATGATATTAGTGACGAAGAATTAGCTCGACGTATTCAAGAACATGAATTTAATATGTATAAATCATTGGGAGGAAGAAAGGCTATGGACCAATTTTTAAAAGACTTAGAAAACCCAAACCATTCTGCTCCCAAACAAAATCAAGAAGTTAAATCTTTTTGGAACCAATTAAGTGCCAGTGCACAAAATGTATTTAAAGAAATGTTTAAAACAAAGGGTCAGTATCAGTTTGTTTTACATTATATATTTTTGAATAAAGTCTCTGTATTTCTAATTATTTTAGAGAATTACCTGAAAATGAACCAACTAAAGAAGAGTGTTTGTTTATGATTATTCTTTTTGTTTTGATTTAGTAGTTTTAGAATAAAATGTTTATTGATGTTAGCTAAGAAAGATCGGTAATATAATATTTCTCTTTTATATTACTTAAATACAATTTATTTTTCACTTCAAGATGTTAATTTTTATGTTCTTTCATCAAAAAAGAAAATGAAAAATCTCCAAAAATAAAAAGAAAAAAGAACTTAAAATTATTTTATAATAAAGGGAAAGAGTATGAGTCAAAGGAATCGTACAACACTAAGAGATAACCCAACTAGTTCAAAGAAGTTAATGTCAAAAATAGAAGAGAAAGAGGATATTGGATTTTTTGTAGGAAGTGATTATACAAATTTTATTAAATCAAGATTTAAGACAGAAGAAGCCATTTGTTGTGTATTTGCATTAAAAGAAAAAGTAATAGTAGGTTCAACAGTAGGAAGAGTTTATTTTTTTAATAAAGGAGAAGAGGATATTGGAGGAGAAGGTATTTTTAATTCAACACCAGTTCTTGGATTTGCATTAGACTCACGTAGACATGTTTTAGTTATTCAAGAGAATAATATTCATGGAATTGATCCAAATGATGGAAGAATTGAAATGAATTTAGTTTCATTTACAGATGAACAAGTTACAAATACAACATTTGATCAACAAAACCCATTACAGTATTGTTGTGTTATTAAACATTTAAAAACTAAACAAATTACTTTAAAAATTACATTAATTAGAAGTCCAGGAGAACGACCAACTATATTAACTGATAGTTTACAAAGAAGTTATATTAATCAAATGAAATGGATTGGAAATACTATTGTAATTGTTATGTCAAATAGGAGTGGAGATGGAATGAATAGAGATATCATTGTTTATTTTTATGATATTAATGCTAGACAACATTCAATTATACCTTTTAATAATATTGAAGTTAAAAGTAGTACTTCTTGTTGTGTTTCACCATTAAATAAAGAAGTGATGGTTTTAACATGGGGAAATTTAAAAGGAGAATTTCGTGCAGTTCCTGGATATGATGTTTCAACTCCAAAAACTTTTAATGCACCAACAGCATTTTTTGTTCCACGAGGAGTTAATGAAATTTATAGTCTTGGGTTATTAAATGATAAAATGGTAGGATTTGTAAATTGTAAAGATCAAGGAGCAAAATATGGACTTAAAGTTCTTGTAAGTAATGATGAACGAGATAAAAAAGCAACATTTTCATTAATGCCAAAAGAAGATATTAGTGAATATTTTGAATTATATTCAGATAGAACAGAAGAAGAAGAATATCTTTGGTTATTAACAGAAAGGAAATTTATGAAAGTTAAAATGTTACAAGATAGAGATATTATTGATATATGGAAAGAACAAAAAAGATATGATTTAATTCTTGAAAGAGTTATTAAAAAAGATATGGATATTGATAAAGAAGAATTAATTGAGTATTGGCAAGATTTAATCTTATCAATTATGGATGGAGCAGTAACTGATGTAGAAGAACCATATACCTTAATGGAAGAATATTTAGAATCAGATTTAATGGAATTAGAAGATTTCTTAGAAATTACTCAAAACTTTCATATTGAACCAAAGGAATTTAGAGAAAAGGATAGTAAAGAAGCAAGAGAATATGAAAAATTAAAAGTCCAAATGAAAGATAGTTTGAATAAAACATTATTATTCTTTACTAATTATACTATTTTCTCATTAAAAAAGAATGAACAAAGATATTATGAATTAATTAGTACGTACAATATATTTTACAATAATAAAGATAGAAATTATGCATATGAAGATGCATATAATACATTAGTTGCATATGCTAAATTAAAAGAAACAATTCAAAGAGTAAAAAGTGTAGATAAATATGATAAAATTCCACAAGATGAATTATTAGGATTAATGAGAAAAGAATTAAATAAATATAAAACATTACTTCTTTATCCAAATTTACCAACAAACTTTCAAGAAATTATATCAAATAATACAATCGGGTCAAAATTTGATGGAAGAAATGAAGATAGAATTCGATTTCAAAAATTTAATATGCATTATAAAATAGAAAATTGTATGTTTGAAGAAGCACAAAATTTAATTTTTAAGTTAAAAGACCCAAATTTATTTAAAATGTTTTTAGAAAAGCTTCAATCAATTTATGACTTACATATGCAAAATATTATTGAAAAAGAAAAACAAGAAATAGAAACTAAAAAAGTATTTGAAAAAGAAGGATATAACCTTAAAAATCTTAGTGATGTTTATGTAAATGAAGTAGAAGAAGTTATGAAAAAAGCAGAGTCAAATCCATTATTACAATTTAGATTATATCAATTATTATTTAAATTATTAAGTGAAAAAAAATATCCTATTGATAATTATGAATCTAGAGTCGGTGGTGGTATTCCTAAATTATTATTTGAAGCTACAAAAGGAAGTAAAAATACTCATGAAATGCAACAAATTGTTATTGCTTTTATTTATTCTACAATTAGTGACTATAATAATTTATTTGACTTTAGAAAAAATGAAAAAGCTGTTGAGTTAATTACAAGTGTTATGGAAATTGTTAATTCTTTAGAAGTCTCTATTTCTCGTGAAGTTTTAAAAGCTCAAAATTATGGAAATAAAAAGTGGATTATTACTTTATTATATGAATTGTCAGTTTATAAAGATCAATTATTAAATGTATTAGATGAAGACGAAACAATGGAAACTTTTGCTCAACCTGTTTGTGATGGTTTAAGAAATGCTTCTCTAAAATATGAAGCTTTGTTATCTGCTCAACTCATTGCTCATCAACAAGAATTTGATTATCTCAATAGTATTATTGACTATTCTAAACAAGGAATAATAGTAGAAGAAGTCGAAGGAAAGTGTTGTAGTTGTAATAGAACTGTTGTAAAAAGAACTTTATTTAAATGTGGTCATTGTATGTGTGATCAGTGTTTAGAAAAACTTACCGCTAAAGGAGCAAATATTGAATGTTCTGTTTGTAAGAGTCAAAGATTAACAGACCAACAACAAAAATCTCTTTCTTCTATTCAAACTCCTCGTCATAAAAAGAAGTAATTTATTATTTCATTTATTTCTTCATTATAAATTCAGTTAATTTAAAAAGAATAATTAATACAGAAGAAATATATTTATGATTGTTTTATTTTCTTGTGCTAAGTTGTTTATTTCTCTATTTATGTTAATTGTTACAAAAATTATTTTTCAAAAGTTTTATGAAATATAAAATTCAATTTATTAGTTAGCATTATTTATTGTTGGTTCAAACTTTTTTTATTTAACAGATGATAAATATATATTTTTTTGTACTGTGTTACTATGGTTGTTATTTTACTTTTCTTTCAATTTCTACCATTATGCTTTTCATTTATTGTTCTATACTATATTTCTATAAATAAAACTATAAACTTACTTTGAAAATATGATAAAGTTTATTCTAAAAGAATATTTATTGATGTTTAAATTTATTTTCTTCATTTAATATTGGATAGTGATATACTTTTATTTAAAAGTGATATGACAAATAACGTAATGTATTAAGATTTTGAAGTTATTATAAGGTAAAATAAGAAACAAGAAAGAAAAATAAGAAAAGAAAA